TCTGAAATCGGGTTACAGAGTATCAAGAGCACCTGGATTAGATTTCCATATGGACTCAAGGTGGACCAATGATGATCCGTCGGTTGTATGGAGAAGGGACGGAACGGGGTAAAAACGCCGCCCACTGTCTCTCTTCCAACCTCTAGCCCAGAAAAAAGTTGTTTCCTTTTATTCCTCATATTCTCGTACCCCTGTAGTTGGTCTTTAGGGCTTATTACAACTATGCCTTCAAATTCGTGTCAAGCACAAACTAGGAGGTGCTCTGTAGTCCCCCTCAGGTAACCGTAGCCCAACTAAGCCAAGACGTAGTTGGTCTGGACTAACTAGCAGCTCTCGAGACTCATTTAGATATCTTTTCACACTAGGTCAACGGAGACCGGCTAACCTACTTCGCTCACTCTTGATCTACAAACCACAGCTAAGAGTATATGGTACCAGTTGAAGCTCGACTGTTCATACCCAGTCATACGCCAGCTACCAGTCTAGTCGGCGAACCGGTTAGGGACCTGAAGATAGGAAAGCTGCAATGAAATTCAGATTTCGGTAAACGGCTGCAAGTGTACCAAAAATTTGGAAACCTGTTCGAGACAAAAAAACGATGAGTTCTAGTTCAGATGGGAAAAGAGGGGAATACCATCGGTGTAGTGGTGTGTTTGTTACAAGGCGCACAATTGTCGCAGTGCCAATGGAGCAGTAAGAAATGAATTCCTTATGGACAGCAAGCGCGGCACAGTTGATTGTGATGATGCAGAGAAGCAACAGAAGAAAATGTGAGAGGATGTAGAATGATTTACTAGAAACAGCATTTTCAGACCTACAGCCTAACTCATAGCTCAACTTATAATGCACACGATCCCTGTATTATGGCTGTTCACTGTCGATGAGGCGCACGAAATGGTTGTGAAGTTGGGCTACGTTCAAGCGCTCCCGTGAAAACATAACTGGAAAAACTTCGGCAACCGTAAAATAATAATGTCACGGGTGTATGGACATCAACACAGTAGCTAAACCAGTTAAGGGAGTCCGCTTACAGAAGCTGTCCAAACTGTGTCTTGCCGTCAGCTTCAACAGAAGCTCGGACCAACTCAGCTCGAAGCTCATTGGCAAGAAGTCAGCCAATGACAGCGTTTCTGTTCCTGGAGCCGGCCAACAACAGCATTTACCGGTATCTGGTAAATTATAGTACGAAGTTCTCTATAGGGCATTTCTGTCGAACTATATAATAAGGGATGTTTGGGCTAGTAAAGAACGCTAGATTTTCCTGGACTCAACTGAAGGTTTTCTCGAGGCCTTTGTCTTCTGGTTTGGGAGGTAGCTACTTCGTGACCCGAATAGCTGTACTGTCAGCGGAGACACAACAGGACGACAGGTGACAACAATGAAGTTTGCTTGCCTATAGACTAATAACCAGCTCATCCGACAAGACTGAAAATGAATGCGTTAACCTAGACCAAAAACCAAACAAGGACGTTAGTCGCCACACAGAACTTAGAGATCAAGGGCAATCAGAGGAAAGTGTCGACACAGAAGGATATAGTTGGAGTAGAAAACACTGAGTATGAAGCTGGGACGGCAAAAAACGGGTGATATGAAAGCTAGATAAAAATGTAAACGGTCCTTGTATGCGGAAAATCCAACAAGCTGTCATCCAATGCGAAGATTAGGCATGTGCTGGGGCGGCGGTGGCGAACTGATTGGCGATGACAGTGATGGAACTAGGCTTAGTGTCTCCGACGTCTAATGGAAAACTTTCAACGGCCAATATACATGAGACAAAGAATCTACTCTAGGCTACCAAAAGTCTTAAGCTCGCATAGCCTACCCTCTTCGGCACATGTCTATAAATGCTGGGGCGAATATCCGACCGATGAGGTGACGCGAGGCGGCGAAATCGAATGAATTCCGAATGGAACCTTCCGATTTAAGAATCACATGTAGCAAACACTAAGTACACGGAACCATCCTGACTGACGGAAGGGGTGCTGCGATAAACCTTAGTTCAGAAAAGGATGCGCTTAGCTCGGTCTAATGTCCATTGCATTTGAATCGATGGCCATAAGAATTTAAATCTAACCTAGCACACCTCAAAGAAGCCGGGGGCTTGGTTCCTATGAACGCGCTTTAGACCCGAAGGAAAGAGGGAGTTCGTTGGCCGTACCGCCATTAATCCATAGAACTGAAGAAACCGCAGTATTAAATGGCTACGCAGTCTCTGATCGAACCCAGGTCAATAGTTCGAGCTCAGAATATGAGATATGAAAGGCCATGATCAAGTGTAGCAAAACTGTCCGCGCTTGATTGCATGAGACCCGAAATGCAATGAAAGACATACGGAGAGACGTGCGCCGTGAAGCGAGAGCAAGTTTGGCTTCAGCTTAGCCAAAGACGACAGAGAAGAGGCGGGATGTGGTCCTATATTCTAACGCGGGATCTTTCTACAGCGAACTGTAATGCGACAGAAACCACACTGGTTCGTCTGAACTAGTCGTCGTGGATAATATTAGTCTAGCTCCTCCCTACACCCCCTACAAAAAGTCTACCCAACGAAGCCACCGATTTGATGTCCACTGTATTTGTCTCGCTTTAACAATACTCGTTGTTCATGTACACTGTTACGGATACATTTTCCTCGCCGATGCGCAACCGAATGTGCGTGGTCTCGCCCTGCCTACTCGTCGGAGCACCGTCGTCGCGTAAGTTTGAATTCGTCAATAACGCACCCACGTAGCGTACCGTGTGCTCACCTCGTGATCCGTTTTCATCCCGGAATTTTGTGTCCACACCTGGGGACATATTAGTAACAATGGTGCTGTCTATTAAAACAGTCTAGGGTTCCCAGGAGATAAATGTTGTGACGACTACCACGACGAATTCCGAAGACGATCTTTTGACATTCCAACAACACGTCAAGTCCTATTTTCATTACACATGTCAGAGGCAGGGGGTCAGCGTTACAGCGGAGGGGGCGTAACAAATGAGTGGTTAGCGTGGGAGCCATAGTGGAACTCAGATACGTTCCGTTGAGACTATGCGGAGAAGCCAAACTTGCCTCATAGTTCTTTGGAAGTGGAATCTATGCTGACAACACTGTCTTGTGTTGGCCATCCGCGTTAAAGATAAACCCCGCCAGATTCTATCACGTGCCGGAGGTGCATGTAAAAGTCATAAGAGCAAGATACACACAGACCTTGGACAGGCTTTAAAACGTCTTGTTGAGATATAAATGAGGATGGTCATTACATGCTCCCCGTTCAACCCCGTGACTGAATACAACCAGAAAATAGTATGCCATGCAAAATTGGCGTGGAGCTGCGCCCTGATGTTGGACACAATGGCCTTTAACACGTCGAGGATAAATCCTAAAATCACGACTCCTATGAGTACCAAAATCCCTCTTTATTCACAAAACTAACAAACTATTGGTTGATTCACTGGGTGATTCTCATTCCCAAAGTATAAGGGGGCGTATTCGCACTGGATGGGGCGAAGTCCCTTGAAGAACCCTGTTATCCACAGCATGGGTGGAGAATTTCAGTCCCGTTGGCAAAACATTGTCTGCAATATTCCCGTGCGTTCGGCCTTACTGTACAGTTGCAAAACCTGGCCTCTACTTTGACTGTAGGTTGGGTAACACTTAGAGCGAAAATTTGTCTCCCATCAGATGTACCAACGTATGTTCGAAATGGAAGGATGAATAAGTAGAACTCCAGCGTCAACCACTGCACCATATAAGTCGTCACACCAGCCTGGTGTATCCCCAGCGCCACCAGGCACGGGTTAGAAAAAAACATAGTCTGGACTAACAATCCGCTTCGTTTTGGGGACGCGTCGACCAGTCTGACGCGGCTTATAAAGCGGTGGGTTCAAAATTGATGTGAATGTGTGGCTAGAGACGCCTTCTGAGTGACCCGATGACGCTAATGGTGCGAGAAGCCAATTTCCAACCATACAACACTGCGATTCTGCATGCTGTTGCGGATACCTCATAGTTCCAAAAAACGTCGCGCCGAACACCTTTTCTCGTTCTCTAAGCTGCCATGGAGCGCTTACGCGATGGGTTATAAGCGACAACTTTGACAGTTGGCAATTATCGGTGACAATATTATCAGTTGGCAACTCTACCTGGCTTAAAAAGTGACACTACTGTCAGGTTGCCGATTGCTTGATCCCCATTGGCGGATGGTAACTAGGTCACACTAACTGCCACCTTCGTTTCAGGGCCAAGTGACAACTACGCTGCACTTCCGATAACGAGGAGACCCATGGTATAAATACCCGGATGAAAAAAACCCGTGTCGATCTGCACTGTGATCGTCGTCGACTGTCTTGCTTGCGCAGTAAACACTTCTTCTTACTCTATCGGGGTAACGAGTGGTCGTACGGTGACTGTGTCAGTCTCGGTACAGTGAAGAAGAACCGTTGGCCGACTAAGTCACTCGAGGCTCGTAGATCGGAATTCTCCATAAAAGCCGCACCGTTGTTCCCACTAAGGGCGCAGTATCAAAACGACGGTGTTACTATACATGAGTGAGATGGCATCAATGTACGATGTTCGAACCGTACTTAGTCAAGGGCCGTGTCATGCAGCCGGATTGAGATGAGTGGTTAACAAATTCTTTGGTGTGCTCTATTTCAAACAAGAGATTGTGCGCTCTACTCTCACAAATAAAACAAGTGGCAGCTCCTCACCTCAGTAACGATAGGCACCAAGCATACCATCGTTGTACAAGGCATTCTGACATCCATGTTCATCATACTCGGTTAAGGAGACTAAGGTTTACGTGAATGAGAAACAAAATATGTCTTATCATCAAAGCAGATCAAGGCGTGCGTTCAGCAATTGGATGGGTCCTACTCTCGGCAGTGATGAGTTTCCAAGTGTTCTTGCAACATGGAATAAGTACGGGAGTGAAAGCGGCCCGACATATGCACCTGACTGGCTGATCGCAGCGTGAAGTATATAGAGCGGATGATAAAAAACATTTACGATGTAAAGACGCCTAAATTTCATTTGTTTTACTGCAATCTACTATTATATATATGTATATATATATATATAAGTATACATAATGTAGTATCGTTACACAAGGGGGCGCAATGGAGCATTGGGAAACATTAATGTACAATGGGTCGCCTATTTTCTTATGCAATCAAGAGTACAAAAAGGAAGGTGCAGATGACATCAAGGAGTGCGCAGCTTTGGTGAAGGGATCTTATTACGAAATGCTGTCCAAGTGAGGCGAAGCGGCAGAAGTCCGTCTGAAGCTGTAGGGACACGCCGCGGGTCAAAATGAGCGATATTTTCCAACTGGTCGAGAAAGTGAAAAACGGACACCAACGGAAGCATCAAGCGGGGGAGTAACGATTGAAGCAAGCGGAGATTCGAGGAATTGTTCACTCCGGTGATGTCACGAGCTTTCTGTAGCTGATCTGACGCCAAACGAGAGGCATTTATCGCTTGTTCCCGAGCGGCACATGCCAGATCGTAGTAGATATCACACATGTTTGAAGTGAATTCGTCCGCGTCGGTGTGGTCTGAACGTAGGGCGCGAAGGATAGCCTCCTGTGTGACGCGGTGCTAGAGTTAAACGGGAATGCGATAGAATACGACGGTGAAACGGAGTAGGAATGATGACGATAGTTTCGGATTGAAGGTGAGAACAACACCTGAGGCATAAGTTGCACATCACTTTCCGGTTAGTTACAAGCTGTGAGCGATGAAGTGCACCAACATGTGTGAACCGGACTCGATACTGACAGGTTAGTGACTAAATAGGAAAATCAGAATAGATAAGTTGTGAGATGACGCTGTTATTGCTTGATTTCGACTAATCACCAACTTGTAACCATGAATGATATATCAAAAACGCGTCTCATGAGATCGAGTGACAAGTACTCTGCGCTACCACGGTAGGTTTAGAGCCATAATCAGCTACTCGTGAAAGTACAACGGTTGGCGCTCTCGATGGATAACGATAGCTTCCAGTAGCTTGAGAATGTGGGGTCGTTGACCGCGCATTAGAACAGTGAAAGACTGATCAGGATTGACTAGGTGGTCAGTAAGTGCTTTCTGACTGCCGATACCGCTAGGTCCCTCGGTTTCCCCATCAGAGATGCAATTATGTTGCGAAAGCACTTGGGGATGTGTTGATCTATTCTAACACCTAAACTTCAAGCAGTGAGCCCAACGTAGCTATCTCCATAGATGCAGGAGAATCGTATAGCCAGTGGTGGGGGGTGCGCTGCCTCGGAGTTGGGCTCTGTGTGAAGAGACCCACACCAATATGAACGTCAACTTACGCAACCCAGAGAGCGATGAAACCCAGACTGGACTTTAACGTGGCGACATGGTTTGCGGACCTCAACGACCCATTGAGCTATACTGCGTAAGGCCCCAGGCCCCTTGAGAGCCACTCCCACCAAATTGGTAAATGGCTAGAGGTCAGACAAACGCAGTCTTCTTCCTCCAGATTGAGGATTGCGTCCATTTCTGTAAACCCAAATCATTGCCACCTCCTCGCTGCCTTGCGGATAGGCTTTGGTTAAGGACCCTAATCGTCCTCCTCTCTAGGTCTGGGCGCCCTGGCAATATTTCAGCCCACGTACAACCATGACTATTTCATCCAATTTCAAGCAAATCCCGCATCGGACACCGCGCGGCCTATCAAGGGTCACTCTATCCGCTGCAAACGGCATGGCGGATAACCGAGGACATGTTACTACTGGCGTCTCCTTTCTTTTCCACCTGTTTCTCTTACTCCCCTCCCGACCCTCATCACTAACCCTCCTTTCATACTCCCTAGCTTAGTTGATAGCAGCCGCATGCCACTGGAGTCATACAATCTGTAGCTACCTTCCACACCACCCACTGGACATCAATTGACAACAGCACCTTATAAAATCCAGTGTCCCGCTTCTCTGGCGGCGTTCAACTTTCGCACTCTAATACAAATAGGTCAACAGGTTGCACTCGCACGCACCTTAGACACTCTGGGTATTGAGATGTGTTGTGTCCGAAACTAGGATCAATGACTCGCACGGGGTTGTTGAACTAACTGCGCCCTGCTCGTCCTCTCGCCATTGGTTGCACGCATCTGGAGACGCTAATGCGGCAATCACTGGTGAAGCTGGGGTGGGCATTATTCTTAGCTCCAAGGCTGTCATCATTGATTGGTTGGATTCCGGTGAACAGCCCCTTTGAAGATCTGAACTAAATCCATAAATTAGTCCCATTCTGATGTCAAAAGGAAAATTGCGAAATTTCTTTTCGATAAATCTCCTCAGGTAATTACAATTATGAACTTCATATTCATTTGTGTAGTAATTATTGTTAGCGATGCGACGCAAAGTCGTGAATGCTGCGACCGGATGAACGGTGGCAATCTATGTCTATTTGAATCCACTACCATTGACCAGTATGCCAGAAGTCAGCTGACCATCATCATCATCACCATACACGTTAGCTAGAGGTGGGGAACACCTCAGCTACTGTGCCGCAACACAAAGAAAAAAGGAGAGAAAAAACAACTGGTGAAAGCTGGCTGAGCTACCGGTAACGGATGGGCATCGTTCCGGTAAGCTACCAGCCGGCTGCTGTGCACCCAAAAAAATTATTACGCAAAATTATATAAGGCTAAGTAATGAGATCGTGGTTGGAGAGGGAGGCTAAGAGGGATGGGGTGGGACAAAGAAACTCACAGCACGAACGCCACTGAGGTCGGCTCCTAGCCATATCAGCAAGTGTGTCCAACCAAACGTGTTCATCGTCTTTCGGACCCCAAACAGGGAGCCGAGACGCTCCAACCGAGGCCAGCTCAAAAGTGAGGACCTTCATTCCTCTCGACCAAGTCATCGCTTGGCCACCCCTCCTCTTCTTCCATCCACACCCCCGGCGCGCAAACAACACACGTCGCGGAAGTCGGTGGGCTGGCATGCGTAACACGTGGCCTAGCCATCGGAGCCTGATGCGTGAAATAACGGTACTGAGCGGTTCATTTCCTTTTCCTGTGCCATAAACAAGGCGTCGAACACGCTCGTTACTCACGCGGTGTTCCCATCAGATGTGAGCTAAATTGCGAAGGCACCGGTGGTCGAAGGTAACTAGCCTCTTCAGGTCCGCTGCTTTAAGCGGCCAGGTTTCACAACCGTACAGTAGGGTCGAACGTACCGCTGCATTGTACACTCTACTCTTCAGGGCAAGAGTGATGTCGCGCCGGCGCCATAAGTGGCGAAGGTTAGCAAAAGCGCCCCGAGCTTTTGCTATACGATTCGTGATTTCATCTTCAATCCCACGGGCGCTGATACAACTTCCCAGGTAGTTGAATTTTCGAACAACTTCTAGCTGATCCCCACCAAGGGTCAGCGTAGGAGGCGGTCCAGACCAATCTTGGAGAAACGCTTTGCACTTCGAGGGTGCGAAGCAAAGCCCGAAGTGACGGACAGCTAGTGCTAATCTGTCCAGTGCCGCTTGGCACGTTTGTGAGCTGTCATCGGCATACTCTAAATCAAGAAGTCGTTCTCATGGTAGCAGATTCACACCTTCTAAGTCGTGTCCTGTAAACGCGGTTTCCATGACTTCGTCAACAGCGAAGTTGAAGAGGAAAGGTGACAGCGGGCATCCTTGTCTCACGCCGCTGGAGATATTAAAAGAAGGCGACAGCTTGCCGTAAGCCCTCACTCTGCCCGAGCTACGTGCATATAATGCTCGAATAATATTCACATATTTCTCAGGTACACCTTTCCTGAGTAGACAGTCCCAAAGTGCATGTCTATCCACCGAATCGAATGCACCTTTGATATCGAGGAACACGACAACGGTGGGCCGCCAATATATGTGACGGGGCTCCAACAACTGACGTAATGTGGATATGTGGTCGATGCATCAACGATCTCGACGAAACCCGGCTTGCTCTTCACGAGTGCCAGTCAGTCTGTGAAGGATGACAGAGGCAAGCAATTTAGAGGCGATGGAGATCAGACTGATTACTCTATGGTTGCCGCATTCCGATCGTGAGCCTCCTTTGAAAATTGGGACTATGATGGAGCGGCTCCAATCGGTTGGGACAGTTTCCTGCTCCCACAGCCTCACTAGTAACTCGTGTAAATCATCCACAAGAGCAGGTCAGCTCACTAGGGTAGGGTTAAACTCTGCATAAGTATACGCTGTCTACACAGTTCCGGCTTCAGTTGCTTGATCGCAATTGCTTCTGCTGTGGCCAGTAGGCGCTTCCTGAGTCCTTTTGAACAGCGTTTTGATGCTACATACACTATTTTGAAGGTCTCTTTCGTTTGTATGTCACATCCACTATCAACTAGGTGTTCTGGGATGAAGCTGTGGACATTTCTAGTGGTACCACCCTGTAATGAGGCAGGGCAGTGTTCCGCTATCCGCTTTGACAGACGTCTGGTCGTGTATCCGAGGTGTCTCGCACCACAGGTGCAAGTGAACTGGTATAGGACATAGGATTCGGACTGGACTGGAATTCTGGCTCTTAGGCGGTTGGCGATGAGCAAAACCGTTTCAGCATGAATGCGGACTCTAGTGGCCGGGTACGTTTGGTTTAGCGCGGATGTCAATTTCCTACTCGGAAGCGCGAACCGTATGTTCCCTTGGAAAGGCACCGAGAGGAGAACGTCTTTTCTTCTTACGGTCATTTTCGACCCAGACTCAGTTCGGAGCTGGGAATGCTTTTTGATGGAAGCAGTTGGGTACCCGTTGCTTTTCAATATCCTGAGTATGAAATTCTCTTCCACTTCCAGTGTCTCTGGGCTACAAATCCTTGTAGCCCGATAGTACAGGCGAGGTACCAAGTTTCGTTTGTATTTTATCGGTACGAAACTGTGGAAATGCGTGTATTGACCTACCCAGGTTGTCTTGTGGAAGACCTTTCTTTCAAACGATCCGTACTCTCGTCGTTGCAACAAAAGATTCAAAAAGGCAGCTTACTGCCTTCCTTAATCATGCAAGTGAAGTTCAACGATGGGTACGCGTTGTTAAAGTGATTCAACAGGTGAACATGAGAGTCGCAAGCAATAAAGGTAACATCCATGCAGCGTTTGTACTAATCAAGTGATGTGCTTAGGTGTCTGATAGGTCCGGATTCAAGTTTTGCCAGAAAAATGTCCGCAAGTAACGGTCCTAGAGGCGATCCCATTGCAACTCCATTTATTTGTCCATAGTATTTTCCATCTAATAGAAACTGTCTGTCGAACGTGCAACGCATAATCAGCTTTCACCTTACGAACCGGAGTTGGAAGAACAATGTTGTTTTCTGTTAGGTATACACGGATGAAATCGATCGTTTCTAAAAATGGAACGTTCGTAAAGAGAGACTCCACATCAAAGGAGCATCAACTTTTCTTACATTTTTAAGTTTTCTGCTTGTTGAACGAATGCAAATGTGTCACTCATAGTGTGACCGGACAATTTTTAACGTACTGGTTCGAGAATTTACACAAGTCACTTGGTGACTGAGTGTATAGCAGACCCAGGCATACCGATCACTGGTCGTACTGAGGTGTTAGTTTTGTGGACATTTGGCACATCGTAGAGGCCAGGTGGATGTGAGCCCCATGGTG